GGTGCGGGTGGGGATGCCCCACAAGGGACGTATTCTGGGTGCTGAAGAAAACGTGGGCCTTCAAATGGTTGTTACCACCCACCAGGAATGTTCTTACTGTATTTTTTTATTTATTATTATAATTAGTTGCTAAGTTTGATTTTATATAAAAAAAACATTAAATATACCAAGTTGTAAGATGGGGTTCATCTGGTTCTCTATTGGTTTTTTTTATGTACGTGTGTATGTTATGTACATATGTGTATCGGATAAATTATTTACAAATTATTTATATATCTATATTTATACTATATTAAAAAGCATTTGGTAAAAACTCTTAAAAACCAATATTTATGCATGAGGTACTGTTAATTAATGCATAGTACTTAAATTTAAGATTACAAGTAATTTGTGTATAAGTACGACTTATTAAAGCTTTAATTTTAAATTCGTATAACTAACTGTAGATAAACATAATAAAATACAAGATAAACATCTCATTTTAAATATAAAAAATCTAAAATATAATTAGGATAATCATTGAGTTCTAACAGAATTATTATCTTTATAAAAATTATATTGTTAATCCAAAATAAATTACTTCATTATTAAACCTAAATTGTATTATAATAAAAAATATAATTAAAGTAATTGTACCAAAAAACAAGAACTTTTAAAAATTTAATTTGATATTAATATCAATATACTTTTTCAAATTTTCATGATATCTTAAAATTTATTTTTATTTAATAGTAAAAATATCATCTTTCTCAAAACCACATAAACCACATTATATCAATAGAGACAAAATAAAATGAAACATTAAAATGAATATGTATCTCGTTGCATTGCACGAGTACCCTTCTAGTATATATATATATATATATACACATATATATACATATCATCCAGATGAATGATTATCAAAAGATCCCACATTGGTTGGGGAGGGAAACTAAGGTTGTCTTATAAGGGACTGGATACCTCATCTATTAAGCGTGTTTTATAACTTTGAGTCCAGGTATATGAGTAAAACGGACAATATATAATATTGTTGGTTAGGATATCACATTTTTCCCTAAATCTTTTATTTCTCTCTCTTCTTTAAGTAAATCAGTGAGAGCCTTTCTAAGAAAAAAAAGAACCCTTTGGACCTCAACAACTACGCCATAATCCTTATGGTTTAGAGTATCACATTTTGAAACAAATATATGTGAAACAATATCTTAAGTTATAGCCTTTGATAAAAAATTGTCAAAAAATATTTGTATATCGATTCTCATGAGTTTATAATCTTTTTATAGTCATCATTTGATTTGCCATATATATATATATATATATATATACACACACACACACACACACACACACACAGAGAGAGAGAGGGGTTGATTATTATACCACCCTTGACATTTGTGCAACCAATACAAAATAATCTCAACCGTCTATTTCATTTGATTAATATGTGATTTCATAGAAGTTTTGATAGTTTTCTAATATAAGACATTGATCATAATCAATGAACTATATTCATCTTTCATAAATATTTAAATCATAATAAATGAACTATCATAATTTCCATAAATATCTCAATTTATTGGGTTGCATTGGTTGTACAAATGCGACAGGTTGTGTAATAGTCTGGTTATCATTTTTGTTATGTATATATTTATTTATAAATATATATATGATATGTATGTGTATGTAATGGGTGTGTGTGTGTGGATATTATTTAAATATTTAGAAGAGGGAAGTCGGTTAGGGGAACCGCCATCCTCTCCTCTTTTATATGTTTGTATAAATAGTTTTGGTGAAATGAAACACACACATACACATACTTTCATTAGAAAA